AGAGCGAGAGAGAGAGAGAAGAGAAAGAGAGGGAGAGAGAGATGTGAGAGAGAGAGAGAGAGAGAGGAGAGAGAGAGAGAGAGAGGAGAGAGAGAGAGAGAGAGAGAGAAAGAGCGAGGAGGGCAAGGTGAGGACGGGACTAGTGTTGAGGGAGGTGAGAGAAAGGTGAGAACTGAGAAGGTGACCGGTGACGAGAATGGATCGGCGATGGTAGAAGGTTCTTAAATAAGCGTTCATTCGGTAAGGTCAGTACTCAGTGGATTACTGGACAGGGATAATGATTAGACTACTGGAAAAGGAAACGATAATAGGTACGGATGTTTCCAGTCGAATTCCACGGCCACTGTGTTATTGAATATATGACGTGAATCACAATTGACACCGATATGGCGCCGGAAGAACCATTTGTCTAGTTCCTATCGCGCTCCACTTCAGTAACGATTGGCCTTCAAAGCAGCCTGACAAGAAAGCCTAAACTCCATTTCCGATTCGTGATTTGATTTCATAGCCGGTGCCTCAGCGTGCAGTTCGCTGACTCAACTGTCGAAAACCAAACGCTGGAAAAGTTCCCTTTGCTTCAGTGAGCCTTAAACCCTTTCGGAGATGTTGCGTTCAAGTCGATTAGCAGTTGCGTGTGCAGCGTTATTGGACGTGCTCTCAGGGGTCTGAGGCAAAGGTAAAACGAGAAAATTGGATTCAATTGAATCGATGACAGGATTATTAGAGCTTTGATTGCGTGCTCAGGCAGAACTAAAATAGCTCCAAAGCGTAAGTGCCTACGGCAGAGAACAAAGAAAAGAAACCATACTATGTCAGGACTCCAGGAGCACGCTATGCCATGAGACGTGTTACATTGTTACAGTGTTTTAATCGACAAGGTGATTGCTTTATTGCTAACAAGAATATAGCTGCACCAAAGTGAATGCTTCACCTTCCAAAAACATGTTGAAAAAATAATTGATTTCAAACGTAAGTGAGTGAACGTCGACATGTGAGGTACAATTCTAAGATTTCTTCCGAAGCAAAGCCACTCTATTCTATAAAGCCGTTTTCTTTATTCGGACGATAAAAGAATAGCACACAAATAACCGACCAGCTAATCGTCTTTGAACGATTCTGCTCACGTGGTAAATCCGCGCGTTTTAATTGTGTTCCGCCATATGCTCACGTGGACGTGGTAAATCCGCGCGTTTTAATTGTGTTCCGCCATATCTAACAATTCCTAGATCATAAAGGTCACATTCCTGTACAATAGACTCGATTCGGATCTGAGACTGAAATCTCTTTGGCTAGGTTAATTGTTGGGCCGTTAGAGCTTCTAAGTTGTGTTATTTTCAGCTCAAGCCACAAAACTGCTATTTCAGTTCAAAACTCCATGTTAAAGTCGAATATTCCCTTTGAGTGACGAGTGTATATTCAAAGTTCACTGTTCAAGTGACTCCTGCCAGCAAGTTGCCTCCTGAACTGGAGGCGCTCGTCCACCGAGCCTGGAGGCTCACAGTCGATCCAATCGGTCACCGTGCCCTCCAGACACGGCCTGCTAGCCCCCGGCGACCGCGCACTCGGCGCAGCGCCAGACAAATTAGTTAATGGCCGCCGCGTCATCGGCCGCATCGGGAGCGACGATACAAGCCGGCACAGCCGCCGACACAGCCGCCTCTGCGGGCACACACCGCCCGACCCGCCCCGCTGTATCGACAATAAATCCCCCCGCGATCCAGCAGCAGAGGCGAGAGGGTGCCCGTTAATGAGCCCTTAGCAGACTCCCGCTGCATGCTGAACATGGTGCTGATCCTATCGATTTGCATAATTTTGAAGTTATTTTAGTGAGATAGGAAATCGATGCATCCCGGGATGCTGTTGGGTCCCGTGTGTCTGTCGGTGGTGTGGGCCGAGTGTGGCCGGCGTCACTGAGCGCTGCGTGTGGTGTTTACAGCCGGGCGGCAGCGGCGCGGCGCCGCCGACCACTACAGTGGCGGCCAGCTGCCAGACGTCCCCCGAGGAAGGCAACACACCCTCCAAAGAGCGGCTCATCATGGTCAGGGCCGGCCAGGGCGCCGGGCCGCCGCAGCAGGCCGCCGCGCGCCGCAAGTACGCCGTCGACGGCAGCGACGAGAGTGAGCAGGAGGACTCGATGTACGCCTCGCTGGGCCTGCGCACCTCGGTGACGGCGCGCCACGGCAGCGACCGGTCTCTGACGCCCGTCAACGAGCCAGCGGCCGGCCCGCCGCCGCCGCCGCCGCCGCTGCCGGCCAGTCGACCGTCCTCTGCCACGGTGGCGCCAGCGGCCGCGCCCACCGCCGTCCCTGCCCCCCTGCCGGCGGTGCGGCGGGCCCCGGCCGGCCGACGGCCCGCCTCCGCCGGCCGCCCTCCTCCTCCGGCTGCTGCACAGCGCGAGGTGACACCCTACCGGTCCACCTATCCACCCGGAGCGGACGAGGCGGCGCGCCTGTTCACGGCCCGTGTGCCGGCGCGCGCGCTGCCGCTGCCGTTCGAGGCGTACCGTCCCGAGAGCCCGGCGCCGTCCGTGCCGCCGCGCCGGTACCGGCAGGACTCGGGTGACCTGCGCGACTCCCGTGACCGGCGCGCGGAGCAGCGGACGCGCCGTGACGGCCGCCGCCGCCGTCACGGCCGCCACGGTGACGACGTGCAGGTGCGCGTGGAGACGGAGACGGTGGAGATCGTGAGCGGCTCCGGCTCCGAGAGCGAGGACGGCTCCTCGTGGGCGGAGCCGGTGCGGCCGCGCCTCGGCGCCGGCCCGGAGTCGGCCGCCGACATTGGCAGGATGCGGCGCCGCTTCCACACCCTGCTCGACGACGCGTTCAACTCACTGGACAGCCAGAGCCGCGGCGGCCGGTGGCGCTGCCGCTCGGCGGCGCCCTCCCGAAACAGGTCAGCTGGGTCCCCGGAACAGGTCATCTGGGAGGGGTCCTCCGAAACAGGTCATCTTGGAGGAGGGGATCAACCTAAACGGGTCGGCTGGGGGTCCTCCAAAACAGACCAGCTGGGTGGGAGGGTCCTCTTTGAGTGACATTGAGTGAGTTGGGAGCTGGCGCCCTATGGAGATTGTACTCTTAAACAAGTCAGCGGGGAGGGCCGGGACTTGACCTTCCAATTGCTGAGGTCATGTAGGGAACCTTGTATTTTCGGCACATCATGATTAACCCTCGCCCGCACATGCCATTTTCCCATCCTAGAACGCACATGGGGGGGGGGATGGTTGCCACCCCCCGCGCCATTTCGTTCCTGTTGGAGATAGAGCTTAGCAGCAAAGACCAAAAAGATTCTTTGGGAAGAGACGAATCCAATGATACCCAGTTTTACCTTCTCAGGTCAGTCATTGACCTTCCAGGTCAGGTCAAACTAAAAAATGTTGCAGTTTTGGGTCACCGTTGGATATCAAGTGCGCTGCTTATCAAATACAGATGACGATGCTGTTTTCTGGTGCCAAGCCAGCTAGAACCTCTGTGTCACACTATCCGACCAGAATTTTGCTGCTGAGGTCATTTCAGGTCAAGTTAGGTCAAGGTCAATTATATGTGTTTGTATGTCTGTGTGTGTCTGTGTGTATACTGATGTGTGCACCGATTGTTTTTGGGTCCATATCACATGAAATCATGATCTGAGAAGCTTTTACCAAAAATGCAGTCAAAAAACTTCACAAAAAGTAAATTCAGCTTGCCTAAAACGCAATTATCTTAGATGACCTAGATTGACCTTGACCCTGACCTTGACCCCTGTACATCGTCGAACAACATGTTCCATGATAGGTGGGAGGTAAGACTGGCAAAAAAGGCCGAAATCAGGGTGTCAAAAGCTCACAAGGCCCATGGCAAACGCAAGATGTTGAGAATTGGCCATTTGGGTCATGACATGACCTGAAAAACAAGGTCATATCTCCGAAACCGAAAATCACAGAAACTTTAAATTTTCAGTGGACATCAAGAAAGGATAGAGGATATACGAAATATCAGCCTTCTAGCTCTAAAAATGTTGAGTGCAGAGCAGAAAGACTGCCTGGGGGGGGGGGCATGTTGAACTTGAACTCAACGACACCAAGTTACGCAAAAAGACAGACTGTCTCCCTGCTTTTTTCCATTCACCATCGTGGGCGCTGCCAGTAAGCCTTGGTGTAGTCTACATCTTAGTATCACAAATGACAAGCTTGCGATATTTCTTTCTCGATGGCCATTTTGTCAGCATTAACGTCCATTTCTGAGGAAGCACACGGCTTGTGCTCTGTTACATAACATACTGCACTTTGTGGCTTCTCACCTCTGCTAAAAACAGCGGCGAACACTGAAGCGAGCAGTGAAGTGACACGTGTCCCGCATTGCCACAAGCTCCCACACACTACATTAGCGAGCTTCTTCTAAACGGCGGCTGGCGACTCACGCACATACACACGTAGACAAGACTGGAATTTAGATTACGCCGTTCTTCAACCAGCTTAGCAGAGAGATGGAATTTGAACCCAGTTTCTATGCAAATTGCTTCTGCCAAATGGCAGAAGCAGAATGAAGTGTCCGCAACAAACACAGTTTAATATGGCAGGACAGAGCAAGCTTGCTTGGTTCTGCAGTGCAAACTAGGGTACATATTTAGAAAACAATGCATAAAAATGGTTAACACACAGTATCAGAGAGCTTTATATTCTCATGTTTTGTTGCATGTGCTTATGACCGCTGAACAAAAGAACACTTTCCAGTTTTCCGTAGGCATTCATTTATTAATTCGATTTTTTTGTGAACTGCTTCTTAAAAACACCAAACAAAGCTGAATCCTGCGATATTTCATTGCAACTATCAATGTGCAGATATTCTGAATCATAAGACGCTATCTGCTCCTCATTTTAGTTATTTTATAGATTTGTGCGTAAACAAAACATTTTATTTAAAAACTAAATTAATGATGAATGATGTATGTCATTAATCGTGGTACTTGTAAATAGATCAGTTTTAGGCAGGCTAGTGATCAACACTGTCTAAACAATGCAGCATCATTTCTAGAGATGCATTTCTGTACGCCTGCTGGCAGCATATTTTCACGCGTAAAACTACACCAGACACGACCGTGTGAGATTCATCAATACTCCTGATGTGTACCGAACATCCGGAGCTTTGTGCGATAACTGACGGAACTTGTGGCCTGCTCCGTGTTGCAGGATTGTCCCCATTGTTATACAGGAGGAGCCCTCAGGTACAGCCGACGATAGCGCCAGGTTCTAAAATACAGCCATCGTAGAGCCGCCGCCTGCCCCGCACAACCGCATTTGACAAAATCAATGACTTCGCGCCACGGCTCAAAATTACTGAGAAATCCGTCACAAGACCTCTGAAAAAATATACTGCTTATACAGGAGCAAGTAAATGCGCGTTAGCAAAAAATAGAGTTTGCATTAAGCATTGGTCGCAGTGGTGTATGCAAACGCATATTGTATATGCAGCGCGAAGCTATTTTCTCGTGTATTTAAGGTTATTGACGGTCTTAACTATCAGGGCCACACCCCCACTTATGTTTTGTCCATTATGTAATATGCAAATTAAGAATGCATGTAATTATACATTTTGACTAGTGCAGGATAACCTCCCCCCTCTCTCTCTCTTTGGAGGATATTTTCAAGCTTTGCTTATCCAAAACTTATGGCCCGCTACATATTTCCGGCGAACCCATGTGCCATATTTTCCTTTTGACACGTAACAGCCTAGACGGTGCTCTGACATTGATTTTGTTAGATGCTTGCCTGGCATCCGTTGCTTTATGTGTGCAGGGCGCATCACCCCTTGCTCCCGCATACGCTTGTTACCATAATCGAGACACCAGCACCCGTTAATGCCTTCATTGATTAAAGGGAAAATTGTGTTTTTCTCATGTTTGATTCTATTCTATGATACCAGAAAAACGCCTTTTGGGCGAAGACCTAGCGAGCGAGACAGTGAGCCCTGCACGTACGGAAGGGCGAGAGGGTACTTCCAAGGGGCTTGTGCAAAGCACCCTTCTAACCGGTCGCTAGTGGTGTGCCAAATTTGAACGCAATCGACCCAGCCGTTCCTGAGATCTGGAAGCGGCACTCTGCACGTGCGCACGCGCAAACGGGGTCCAAACTGACTTCTGCACGGCACCCTACTAACCGGTCCCAACCGTGTACCAAATTTGATCGCAATCGGCCCAGCCGTTCTCGAGATCTGGAAGCGCCCCTGCACGTGCGCACGTGCAGTAGCACCCTAACCGCAACACATAGGAATGCATTGCCTGGTGGATGCCTACCTCTATGCCAAGATTCAGCGAAATCGCCCCAGTAATTACCGAGTTACTGAAATGGGAACAAATTTGGCACCTCTTATTTTTGCATTTTGCACGTGCAGTGGGGGTCACTCACATAGATCAAGAGTATCCGACCTTTGGTAGAAGGGATGCGGCTACCCTACAAAAATTACCGCAAGACAATCGCCCAAGCGGCTGCTGAGAAATGAGCCTCTCAAAATCACTACTTTGCAAAACAGCTTGAACGCCCTTGACTTTTCACGTGCCACGTGCCACGACGGTCACTGAGATGTATCAAAAGTAGTCAGTCACGGGGTAGAAGGGATGGGGCTACCCAGCAAAAAAGACCGCAGGCAAATCGGTCCAGCGGTTGCTGAGATATAAGCCTCTCAAAATCGTTACAGGCGGGCCGGGCCGCTTATACTGAGATTTTTTTCCGTTATATTGAAGAGACTTCGCTTCGCTCGGCTGCGCTCGCTCGCTCGTAATCAGAAACAGCTTTTTTGTCTTATGTTTGTTTTTGTTATGTTAGCTTTTCTTCTCTTATGTTAGTTACAGTAATGTGATCTCAAATTGGCAGCACTTTGATTTCAAGTGTGGTGACCGGTATAAATTTGCAACCACCTTACCCCCGCTTCATAAGGTTGGTATCTTCAGTAGCTAAATGAAACTAACTTGTGACAGGCACTATCGACAAGAATCGCAGAAGACTCTGGCCACTCAACTAAATCCGAGTGAGTCGCCGAGTCAGAAAAGACAAAATTTCGACTTCTATTTGTAATTAACCGAGCTTGCACAGTGCACAGATATGATAAAGCGCGCTTTTTGAGAGAATCCTTCAATGAACTATGTTTATGAACCACACTAACTTGCATTTAAGAATCAACTATGATCGGCATGCCGAAGTCGATCCATGCATTTACAGGGGAAAATATCCTAAACCAATCGACCTGTACAATATACTTATATGTATATTATCTGCAATGTGTGTGTCTATAACTCCTCCGCTTGGAGCACTTGCAATGCCTGGCACACGAGGGCTGCTTTAGGATGCATAATGTACGTACGGCGTAGGCTCATGGCTGACTGTTCAATGTTGCAATGCCAACGGCCACAGCGTGGTCGTCGCTGACAATGCTTCCCCGTCATGCAAACACCAATATTGGTATTTATCCGGGATAGCTGACTTTTTTACCATTTGCATGCTTAGTTTGTACATACGTTGAATATGAATAATAATAAGAAACACCGTTCAATCCAACAGCTGTAAGAGAGCATAGGTACAGGTCTCGCGGGTTTTAGTGGTAGGTTTTGCACCTAGAAAATTTAGTGTACTTCAGGCTATATCTTCGTCGTCTTAAGCTTTTAAGTGTTGAAGATGCGATCGACTTGTTGGGCAACGAGCCGGCCATGATCGTGTAAAATTGCTTCATCGTAGATTGATTACTTTCTGAGATATAACCGGAAATGTATAAGCGCAAAACCTACCGCTTAATCTCTCGAGAGCCGCACCTATGTACTTCTCTGGAGAATAGTTGACAGACACGTGTGATCAGTCTACGTAACACATAGTCATCATGAATAATATGATTTGAATCAATGAGCCTTTCAAATAACTGATTTCAGCTCACACAGTGAAAGTTAACCTTTTAGCCCGCTACACCATTCAAAGGCTTTCATATCGTATTGTTGATTGTTTGAATTGGACAAATTAATTCGTATTTGATGTAAGATAAAAACACCAAAACCACCCAACGTTTCGTGTTATTCACTTTTTCAAGGGTGATATGACACATTTTACCTACAGAGTCAAGTACGTTTTTTCGGTTTCGTTCGAATATAGCGCGGGCACTTTTTCACAAATTTCCTCTGCCTTGCATGACATATTGACGTATACATACACACATACTACAAATTAACGTCTTTCCTAGCCAACAGAGCAGACACCGAAGCTAGTCTGAAGAATCCACTCGAAGTGTTCAAAACATCACCTTTCGCAATAAACGCCGCTTCTATAATTCTCCGTTGGGTTTTAGAAAAGTTTTATCACCCTTGAAAAAGTGAATAACACGAAACGTTGGGTGGTTTTGGTGTTTTTATCTTACATCAAATACGAATTATATCGTATTGTCTTTTAGGTCATCATGTATTTGCAAAATGACCAGAAATGCATACGAAGTGTAAGATACGCACTCAAAAACCTCTCATATATGCACAACAAGAGAGTTGCGTAATGTTATTGGCAGCATTGTCAACGCATGACCAATATTTCATTTGGGATATATGTACTTACACTCAACAATGATGTATAGTTTAGTGCATCATTAAAGGTTTTCCAAGACGTGTATCGTTAGACGTGTTTCGTTTTGTGTTTTGGTCACTTTCTGATAATTTTGAAAATAGTGTGCAAACCAGTCTGCTCCATATGTACCTATGTGTCGCGTACCAATCTCTGGACTGCTGGCCGGAAGCGACTCAAGCTTATTTTGAACCGATTCTTCATGATCATAATTTTCATTGTTTATCCAAATTTACCTTTTTATATCTAACTATGTACTGTTAATGCGTGTTTCCCATGTTCCATTTTTGTTTTAATTCGTAGCTTTTCTTCGAAGTCATTGTCTTTACCCAACTTTTTTGTCTCTCTCTCTCTCTCTCTCTCTCTCTCTCTCTCTCTCTCTCTCTCTCTCTCTCTCTCTCTCTCTCTCTCTCTCTCTCTCTCTCTCTCTCTCTCTAAGATGCCTAATGAACAGTGAAAAATGAACACATTAAATGGAGTTCCTTTTCCCATCCAAACTGTTAATGACCGCAGTCTCTCAGCGTTCCGACATTATTTATCTCTCGGCTATCCCTCTGCCATTGTCTCGTCCTGTTTTCACGGCCTCTACCGCCGACGTCACTTTGTTCTGTTTACTCCCGAGACCGCTGCTGTCACACCGATTTATTTACACCACCATCAACCCTTTCACAGCGCTGCCACCCCTCCCCTGCCCGGCCCAGCAAAGCCCTGGTGACATCCCTGACGTGCCGCCCTCAGGTCGGTGACGGGCCGGGGCGAGTTGTAACTCCCCGCGCGTGCCGCGCCCCCAGATCAGTGAGGGGTCTGAGCTAGCTGCAACTAACTACCCGCGCCGTACCCCCATCGGTCGGTGACGGGCCGGGGACCGTAACTCCCTGCGCCGTGCCCCCAGGTCGGCCGACGGTCCCGAGCTAGCGGTGTCGCCCCCTCGGCGGCCGGCCAGCGCGCTGGAGCGCCGCTCCGTGCCCACACAGGTATCGCTGTCCCCCTCCTCGCCGGGTCACAAGTCGGCCTGGACCACCACCGACGACCTGAGCCGCTCGGCCGCGGCCGCCGCCGGGCCGCCGCCGCTCCGGCTGCTGCCGGGCCGCACCGGCGTCACGTCGAGCCCGATGCGTCGCGGCGGACTGTCGCCGCTGGAGCCGGGCGAGCCGCTCTGTGCCGACGACCCGGCGGTGCCGCTCATCCGCGCCATCCAGGAGGAGCTGCGCCGGTTTGGGGACAGCGTGCCCACCGGCGACACGGACGTCTGAGGATGGACGGACGGATGGACGGACGGACAGGCGGACAGACAGCATACGGACGCTCGAAGAGTCATCAGTCTGGTCACAGGACGAGCTGCCGCACAACCGTGTGATACCTCCGTGCCACCGAAGCACTTCGGCTCGGAACAGGTGCTAATATAAAGCCCTGAATGTCCATGAGAAGGCATCTTATCCAGTGGACTCGGGGAGCAGCCAGCAGCAGAAATCAGTACCAAAAGCCGGCGGCAGAGTGGACTCTATGGATGTTCGGTACCCTGAAAACTAATGCATGAAGCTGGAGGATCAGGTGGTAAGCCAGTGGCTTGATATTACAGCACGGCGAGATAGAGCGGAGCCGTTTCAGATGTACAATTTCGGCAGCCGAAACTGCACGCAATCTATCGGATCCTTTACTCAATGAAGAAAAATAGGGATACCGAGCAACTTGTTTCGCAAATAGACGAGCAAAACCAACGCAAGGAAACCACGGACAAAATATGTGTGCAGCATTACACATTTTTGCATAGATGGAAGCGAAAAGACACATGAAAATGCAGGACAATTTACATGTAAGGCGTGTGTGACTGTGCCACTTGGTATATGCTGTGCTGTATGATAATTAGTTGCGATTTTATACCAGCGAGTAAGAGTTTATACATGAGTAAGAGAGCCAGTGTTCCTGGACGCTCAACTGAAGGAATGTTACGCCATCTCTCCAGGCCTACGAACTTTTTGATGATAGTTTAAGTGTGAAACAGAATATTTGACTCCCAACAATGTCCATTGAAATAGCCATCCGTCCATATTAACTACCCGTCCAAATGTCACTTTTGGTGCACGATTTTGTAGGATAGAAATAGGTATGTGGCATCGTGCTTGAAATGTTATCGTTCGCGTATGTTTGATCCGTATCGTCATATACATATATGAAATGCGGTGATATAAAAGCGCGTTTTGGCAATTTGCGGCATTAAAGAACACATCGAGCGTTTTAAACGCCCGGTGACATTTGCGACATACCCACGGTGAAGACGAGTGTTTTTGCGTGTGACTGGCCATGTAAGCTATAAAATAGAGGGAAGAAAGCTTCACGTGGAATCCATAGCTAGTATTTATGAGTATTTCGTTAATCATAACAATGAAATGTCTACTTTGTAGCAAGTGAACGCTCGCAATGATGTTGGAAACTAGCAAAGCAAAATGCTTTGGTTTTCGGCATAAATAATGATGCATTCCAGTGTCATTAGCTAGAAATTAAACCCCAATGTTACTCAAATAGGATATTTTTGTTGCATTCATCGTTGCTTCTTTATGAAGATGGATGTACTGGTGTTATTTATACTGAGTGACAATGCGAGGCGACAGACGTGCAGTATTTGTGAGATTGCTGTATATGGATGGGATAAGTGTGATTTGTAATCACTTTGTACTACTCGTGATGGTTGCATAATAAACGCTCCTCAAGATAAATGCCAGTCTTGATCCTGCTATGTCACTGGCTGGTATTACGGCCTGGCCCCGCCCATATCAGACGCGCAATGTGCATCCGCTGTCAGCACCTGTGCTGCACCTCCCTGGAGAGGTATTTAATCCTCTCACCTCCCGCACTACGTGATCACCACGTCGGAGCCGCCCTCCCCTGGGGCCCCCGGTCACCCCGGGACGCGATGGAGCCCCGCCGGCCGGTGACGGCGCGCCAATCAGACCGATGAGTCGTCGGCCGGGCGGATTAGCGCTCCGTGTCGCGTCGCCGCGCGGCCGGTCGTCGACAGCCAGTCACAACACGGTTCTGCTCTCAGCCGGCGGCGTCGGCCGTCCCCCGTCGACCCCGCTGTCCGCCCCCTCCACCCCCTCCGATCGCCCCCTCCACCCCCACCGGACGCCCCTCCGCCCCCGTCGGCCGGCCGCCTCTGACCGATCACCGTACACGGAGAGGTGACGGCGACACGGCGGCGACGGCAGGTGTCTGGGGTGGGACGGATGGTCCGCCCGGGGACAGACCCTGTGACCTGACACACGCAGGGCCGAGGCGTGAAACGGTAAATGACAACGTGAGACTAGGTATTTTAGTTAGGGCCGTGTGTTGGCCAATTATACGTTACGAGATCAGGGGCCGTATTCACATCGATCATTTTCGTAAGAATTTTCTTAAGTTTGACCTACTTCTTAAGTTAATTTTTTTTATTCACGTGAACTCCGCCGATAAAAACTTAAGAAGTGTCGATACGAATACCAAATTATACTTACGAAAGAAAATCGACTTACGAAGTCGACGTGAATACGGCCCCAGGGCCACACTGAAAACAATTTAACCCAAGGCTGGCGAGTAAACCGGTGTTTTACGGGTACCCCTATCCGCAACCGTTTTTAACCACCCTTCCAGGAGTAGTGCTAGGTCCCATTGCGGTGTAGTCGTACTTGCTCTGAGCGGATATAACCGCTGTCAGCGAACAAGTCCGCTGAGAGCAGGGACGACTACACTGCAATGGGACCTTACTGTACTCCTGGGAGGGTGGTTAAAAATGGTTGCGGATAGGGGTACCCGTAAAACACCGGTTTACTCGCGGGCCTTGGGTTAAATTGTTTTCAGTGCACTCACTTCATTGCCTTGACAGGCCAATCGTTCCCCGGCCTCAGTTTAGATCTGACGACCCGAGCGAGGCAGTTTGCAGATCGGAGTCGGCCTGAGCTGTGCCATCTGCCCGGCTCGGCACTGACCTCGGCGTTACGTACGATGCCGTCGGGACGGCTCTGTCAGCTCAGATCCGAGATCGGACGGGGCTGGGACCAGGTCCATTTCCGACAGCCGCCGGCTAAATCGGCTGCCGCGTGACTCACCCCATACGCGCTATGACGCCGGATTCAGAGACAGAGAATGTGGTCCGGTTGGATAATACTAACATCAGTATAAGCATTGTACATAGAATCTATGTCAAAGGGTAGTGGAACAAGGACAACATGAAGATTGAAAACGTTCGTAGCATACCAAGCAAACCATTTGAAATGGTTCTCGAATCATGGTATGGTAACTACTACATAGTCGTAGAAATAAACAAAGATCAAAAAACGACTAACTTTATCAGAAGCACAATCTGAATGATGCACTGACCATCATCAGTGATGCACTGACCATCATCAGCATATTTTTCTTTCACCCTGAGCTTACTTCTCGTCAAGATATAAAAGCTCCAATCTTCATAATGGCTGCCCCATGACAATATTCGTGCTCATATTGACCGCTAGCATCGTTTACTAGCAGTCATCTACGCATTTGATCCACTAGTTCCTATTTTCATTATCGCATCCATTACGAGAAATATGTGAAACATCACACTTTGCACTGAATCATCAATAAACGCTTGATGCTTCCTTAAAAGAGCAATTTTCCCCAAAAAGTGCCAAATAATAAGGACCTAAGTCACCATGACCGTTTGAGCGGACAAAGAAAATGGTTGGAGAGATGGCATCGTCAATCATAGGGCTAAAAATCAATATAGGACAAATTTGTTACGTCAGCTAGTGATATGTGTCTACCGTCCCTCTCTGTGGGTGGATAAAAAGCTATAAAAAAAGAATCAGACCATAACCTAGCGGAAATAAGGTGCTAAGCGCGCCGCCGGGAGCGCTTCTCACCTATTTGTCGATAAAAATAGCGACGTGGCTAACACGGGAGTTGACATTTCACAGACCGGTGTATCCGGCGGTGCGCGACACACAAAATATCGCCCAGCCCATGACGTTCCATTTTACAGGGTGGAAAGTAATTACGCGAACATGTATTTTCTTACAATTTCGCCCGTCAGTGGAGATTTTGCATGAGCGCGGGCTGTTATGGAACATGACTGGTCGTGTTTGTTGTCGCCTCATCTAATAAAAGTGACCTTACTTTGAAAAATGACTTGAAAGGTCTACAACACCTCTCGGCTTCGAGTGGTGCTGACGCCATACGCTGCTCAAGATCAAAATGGGCAAAGAGCTCAATTTGAACTTGCCAGGGAAAGCGTTTGTGATTATTTTGGCTGGATTGGTGCGGAAGGGACTCGGAACGGTCTCGGCACCAGCATTACTCAATTACACCTTTGGTTGAAGCATAATAAAACTTAAGAGGACTTAAAAAGCAAAGCCGTTGGCGGCAGTAAAACCTCGGCGAATTCAGGCGCCGAATGGGTGGTCACCATTTCCGCGACCAAACGACAACAGTCGACCCGAAAACAGGCGAAATGGTTGACTTTGGCCGGGTACCCGATCTAAGATATCACGATTCATACATAAATCCGTGAAAATTCGAAAATCAAGCCGTACAAACAATCGAGATGGCCAAAATTCATGAATTAACAGCAGGATTGTCAATTTAAGTTTTCTAAAGACCGCCAAACCTGAACAGAGGAGGACAGGCAGCTGGCTTTGTGGTTGGGTGAGACATCTTCGAAGCTATTTCATCCGTCAAACCTGCAGAACAACGCGTTGGGGGCTGCTGATGCGTCCGACGTCCCGCCCGTCCCAGCCTTCAAACATCCGGCAAAGGAACACACATCAGCGTGTTATGAGCTCCGGATGGTGTCAGAATTGCATGTAGTGACCAACAAGGCCACCAAAAATAAAGTATACAACTAGTGGAACATCCTTCCAGACGAGTCTCTTTATCTAATCCATCAATGCACCAAAAGGGGCAAAATGATTGAGCGCACTTTTGTGCCCGACGCAAAGAAACTCTTCTTCATGATTGATAAAGTCCTTCCTCTCACGGCCAAAAAGACGCAAGACTGGTGCTTTGAGAATCCGTTCTTCTTCTGGGCATATAATGGTCAATCTGGGAATAGCCCAGACCTCAATTTGATCAAAAATATCCAGGCGACTCTTCAGGAGAGCGTCTAAGAGCTGCTAGTAGCCACCAACATCGATTGCCTCACCAGACAGCTCCAGGAGGCGTGGACTAAGCTTTGGCCAACAGTGCTTGACATGCTCATGTCAATTATGCCTGAACGCCTTTGTCAGTGTATCGCACATAAATAGGAATATATGAAAAGATGAAATTTTCATGTCACCGCCGCTTTTTCCATTGCTATAAGACGAAAAAGTATGTTCGCGTAATTACTTTCCACCCTGTATGTCCGACAGTGCGAGCTTTACTACGCGGTGCGGCCATAAAGTGTTCCCGGCCGATGTGGTAGGGAAAGGTGGGCGCAGCTGCGTCACCGATCAGTCAGCGCGCCGTCCGCGTTCAGCGAATACCTCTGCTTGACGTCAACTGCGGTTAGGTATGACATTCGCCGCGAGACTGAGCACCGAGTGCAGTTATGTCACAGCCGAGCAGAGGAGGCCCGTTTTCCCCTGTGATTTCCACTCATCCCGAAAAGTTGTTTCCTGTCCTTCGCTGTCTGGTGCAGTTTCCTCTCGTGGGCGGCTGACCGACCCCCCCCCCCCCCCGCCTAGTGGAGGGGTGGGCGGGTGGATGGACAGACTGACGGCACTAGCAGGGAAATCGGTACCCACACACTCCCATACGCGCGCTCATAAGCAGAGCAGGCCCGAACCAGGCAGTGTTCATTTGTCGGTAGTGTTGGTCGGCGAACGATAAAGTACGGGAGGTTTCCTGATGCACTGAGGCACAGACCGGAGCCGGGCGGCACGGCAGACAGCCTCATAGACCGTGCCCAGCACCTCGGAGCCGTCACACAGCAAAACAGTGTCTGAACAGCGTCTGAACAGCGTCTGAACAGCGTCTGAACAGCGTCTGAACAGCGTCTGAACAGCGTCTGAACAGCGTCTGAACAGCGTCTGAACAGCGTCTGAAGCCTGACCAGTATCTGAACAGTATCTGGACAGGATCTGAGCAGGTGAGCGATATGACCGCATCTGGACGACGCACAACAAATGAGCCGGATATATTTCATTGCACAGAGCAAATAGCGGACGGCAAGTGACACCACATCCAGGAAGGCTATGAGAGCGTAACAAGTCTGTCCTTTTCCTGCTTTGCGATGCTGTCTCCAGCCATTTTGTTTGTTGATTTCTAGAAGTTTTTCATAGCTAGAATTAAAAGATCAAATACATCAAAATTTTAGAGAACTAGCGATCATGCGAGCTTATCCACGATTCCAGGGGAAGAAATCAGTATGAGCGACCAAACCACCCCAAGGCAACCACTCAACCGATCAATAAGTGGTCGGCTGCATTAGATAGCCCCATCCTTTACGTAATTGATTAAAGTGCTTCTGATGGGTAGCTATGCGTACCTGATGCGTACCTCTAGGTGACCATCTGACATGTGCAATTTGCCATCTCAGAGGTACAAAAATAGTTC